CAGGATAATCAATGGAGGTTCTGACAGGTAGGAAGGTGCCTCACTTCATTTTAGGGAGTATACTTATATAGGAAGCCAGCCCTACGAAGTCTTTCTGTACGTCATACACATTTCAAAGTAAGCTGAAGGATTCTAATGGCAAGGTCCCAGGCAAACAAATGCTTTCATCAAACTAATTTAAACCTGCAGTTCCCTTTTGTGGGGGAATAGAATTTATTGCATCACATACTGAGAACCAGGAAGTGAAATGGATTAAGACTGGTTCCACTGGCCAGACAGCACAGGGCAGTAAAAGTCTAAATACACATCACTGCCATCAAAAAGCCAAAGAGATTTAAAAGATTAGTTTAGTGGTCCCAGGTGCTGTCAAAAACAGATTGGCAAGACAATCTGAACTTTGCTTTTACTTTGCTGTGTGACCATGTCCTTCTATTGTAGAGCTAAAGCTTCTGTGAGAATCGGATCAAACTACTAACCACTGTAGGCATTTGCATGGGAAAGCACGAGTCACCTGCAGCATCATGTACAGCAAAACTGCATCTACTCCTGACCCTCCCCACCATTTTCTTAGGTGTGGTCTCTTTTGTACTTACAGCCTAGCTTATTTCCTATAACTGATCTTGTTGTCCTCATCCACTCCCACCTCAAATTGACACAAATTCCCCCGTGCTGGGGACAACTTGCTTTATCTCCTGCTAAAATGGTAAAACATATATAACCTTTACTCTTTGATTGCTCCCAGCACCATTAGGCCAAATCACAGCTCCAGGGGCCTAAAAGTCGCACTAAGCTGGGGAATTTTTTATGAGGAAAACCCAGGCGGATGCCCAAGGGAGACGTGCGAGAGGATTCTCACGAAGTCAACTATCTTCTACACTGCAGGCTTCCCATTGGGGAACGCTACTTCCTCTCAGATCTGCAGGGCCCTACCTGAGCAACAACCCCACACAAAGGAAGAACACCACTCCTTCGGTTTGCACTTCTTCTTGGCCTGTGCACCTCGTTGGAAAGGGCATAAACCCTGAAGACTGAATCCTTTACAGCAGGGGTGTCCAACCTTTTTGAATGTGGGGCCGAATCATGAACTTTTTATCACCCAGTGGGCTGGCGAGCCATATTCAAAGACCTCACAGGAAGCGGTATCACCACCCCCAAAACAAAAGTACAGTGTTTATTTTTGTTTCCCGTCGCAGCACCTCGGGCCTCAGGAAACAGCTTGGAGGGCCGCATGGTGGCCCGCGGGCCATATGTTGGACAAGCCTGCTTTGCAGCATTCTCCCATTAAGTAGTGGAGGCATGGGAAGTTGGTAGGATGGGCAACAGTGAAAGACCAGTTAAGACATCTTGCTACAGCTCCAGAGGCACGGACTTGCACTTTGCTTGTGATTCAAGCCAGACTGTCCGGAGTTGACCCAACTCTGAATGGGCACCTGGTCAACAGCAACAGGGAGTCAAATGTGCAGCCAGTTGCTATGCCAGCTACATCACTCCCTTGTGTGCTACAGCTACAAAAACTGGAGTGCCTTAACCACACTTGCCTGTGGGACTATTAGCCAAGTGGAGCTTTGAAGGGTTGTTGCTTTGTTGTTTTGTTTTGTTTTGTTGTTTTTTTTTTGACTTGACACCTCACCATACAGGGTGAGGCAAAGCTCTTATTTATTAAAAAGTCCATAAGCCCACAAAGAAGTTCCCCTAACCTGTGCTATTAACACCCTTCACTGTGTTAAAACACCCCTGTGATTAAAGTTACCTTCCAAATTTTATTTGAGTACAGAAAGATTAATCTGCTCCCCTTTGGTTTACTATCAGTTTCACTTTTGGATTCTCCCACACTGGTATGAAATTGTACTGTTTGGGTTGCAAACTCCCTAGAGGAATACACTTAAAAAACACTTTCTACTGTAATGCAGAGGGAATCCTGGAAATGTTCCTATTGCACATAGTACTTTTTGTAAGTTTCTTCTGATAGTGTCCTTTCATTTATTTAATGAAAATATCAGGATAAAAAAAATAAGTGCTATTTATTTTGAATGAACATGTGCAATTAAAATCACTGTCATGCTCTTGGTAAGTATTTCAGGATATGGCATGCTAACAGAACAAAAGCCATCCTGTGGGGGGCTCTGGGAAGGCAGCTTCTTCCTGAATATGGTGGCCTATGACAGCAGCGAGGAGGAATGTATTTTTCACTCAAACTTAACACTAACAAGACACAGCCACAGCAGACCTCATAAGCATGGGTTACTTAAGGCTCAGCCCTTCAATCCTCATTCCTATGGACTAAAATGGGAGTTCAAGCATGCCATATTCCTTCTAGGGCCCCATTTCCCCTAGTGATGTCCCCTTCCTTCAAACCTTTACAAGGTATGGAAGGAAACAGCCCACTTGCTGCTCTGTAAAAAAGCAGGAACTTTTTCCCCCATTTTAAAAATTCCAACAAATAGTTTAGTCCTTTCTCCCCTCCCCCTTATTCTCTTTCATTTTATATGTCAAAACCTCTAAAACTGAGGGCTTGGGGTAGAAGAACAGGTTAATCCAAGAGCTGTTCCCACTTGTTTTGTCTTGCACGGGATCCAACATCTCTACTTCCCATGGCTTTTCCTATAGAGGAACACTGTGCTCCGGTCTTCTACAAGTGTCAAGACCGCTGGAGTCATCTGAGGTTACCAACCAGTGTGCTGTCTGTGACTAGACTATCCTCACCCAAAGCAGTGTTTCAGTGTCAGCAGCTGATGTTTCATCCTCTTAAAAATCAAAGAGGTGCCGATTGGTTTTGTGTTGATTATGAAATTCACTCACACACACACACACACACACACACACACACGAAACTACTATGAGAGAAACAAACTTAAGACACCCCTTTTTTCCAGTGCTTGTCTTTTTCCAATTGATAATACTTCCTTTCAGTTGAGGGCTAATCACACTGTAAGAATAGGGGTGAGTGAGCAGGGCCATTTTGTGCGTTTTTTGCTGGGTGAGTGCCTGCTGGTTTCAACGTGCAGTGCAGTGCAAAGTCAGGCCTCAGTACCAATTTCATGTGGCATTAAGAGAATGTACTTTTCTGTCCCTTCAGTGTTGAACTGAGTTTAGGGTACAGATCCTCCAAGGGAGGATGTTAGTGCAATTGGCCTCCATCAGCTCAATTATTAGGGACCATAAGCTAATTTCATAGACATTAGGGCTGGAAGGGACCTCGGAAGATCATCGAGTCCAGCCCCCTGCCCAAAGGGCAGGAAGTCAGCTGGGGTCATAGGATCCTAGCAAGATAAGCATCCAGTTTGCTCTTGAAGGTGTTCAATATAGGCGCTTGAACCACCTCTGGTGGCAGGCTGTTCCAGACCTTGAGGGCTCGGACAGTAAAGAAATTCTTCCTTATGTCCAGCCTGAAACGGTCTTGTAGTAGTTTATGACCGTTCGACCTAGTCGTCATCCCTTGGGGCGCTCTGGTGAACAAACTTGCCCCCAGATACTGGTGGTCACCCCTGATAAACTTCTAGGTGGCCATCAGATCACCCCTGAGCCTGCGCTTTTCCAGGCTAAAGAGCCCCATGGCTCTCAGCCTGTCATCGTAGGGTCTGCTTCCCTGACCTCTGATCATGCGCGTGGCTCTTCTCTGGACTCTCTCAAGCTTCTCCACATCCTTTTCGAATTGTGGGGCCCAAAACTGGATGCAGTACTCCAGCTGCAGCCTCACCAAGGCCGAGTACAAGGGGAGAATGACGGCCCGGGATTTGCTTGAGAAGCATCTATGGATGCAAGCCAGAGTTTTGGTCACTTTACTAGCTGCAGCATCACATTGCAGGCTCATGTTCATCTTGTGGTCAATGATGACTCCCAAGTCTCT